ACTGGGACTGACTGGACCTTCCGCTGACTGACTGTGGACTCACCGCTATCCTACCGACGTTGTGCTGCTGTTGCACTGCGGTTTAGTCCAACACTTGCCTCACCACTTGACCACTTGCCCACTTGACTACCTTGTAGAAGGTCTACAGCTAAGCTTCCGGAACTCACTAAGACTTCTACGCTATAGACCTACAGATCGAACCCCTGCTGCCTATGGACCTACGACAGACCTACCAACTGTCTGCGAATACACAGGTCACAGGTTCAATTCTCGGGATCTATACAGATACTGTACATAGGTAGTGTGAGGTCTAGGGATCGAACCCTGGGTACTGCATCCGCTACTACTAAAAGGTGAAAACCGTTTCATCCTCGACTTGAATATCTCTGAGCTTTGTGTGGGCGCACAGCGCCAGTGTACATCTTCATTTGTTTGCATGCATGCGAGTTGACAAAGAAAGTGAGTGTGATTGCAGAGTGTTTAGCTGTAGCATCATAGGGAGATAATTAAGTTCCATGGCAGACTTTTCTGACGAAAGAAACAAAATAGAAAGTGCTTGTTGGCGAGGGAGGGGAAATGGGGAGAATTAGGACCAACATCTTATCGCAGTAAGAAGGCAGCTGTACATCTGATGTAGTATGTATGATTCAGGAGTTGTATGAGAGAGAGTGGAAGGGCCTGTGTGCAGGGATACATTTTCGGGCGATCTTTGAAACAGAATGCCACTGTGAACTTGAGAATACGCCTTCGCCTTGTTGAAATTCTAGCCCGTTTAGACTTCTACCCTACTGCCTTCCTCCAAACAAAACGCACCTCATCGTGACTGTATCTGTCTGGAGATATTGTTTGTATACATTTCTGATGAGGGGGAGTTGTTTTCGGGGGAAGACTGTAGCCCGATTTGCCGGTTACCTTTATGCTGTTGAATGTGGTCCAGGAACCTGTATGGATACAGTCTCAGCAAACCGGTTCAGTGTCCAAGAGCAGTTTGTCTCACACCTGAGGACCTTGGCTGCAGACATTTGCCCTCTGCTTGTGCTGGGGGTTTGCATAAAGAGAGTGTTTTACAGACTTAACTTGGATTTGCTTTGTATACATTTGTGATGAGGGTGAGTTGTTTTCGGGGGAAGGCTCTAGCTCAATTTGCCGGTTACCTTTATGCTGTTGAATATGGTCCAGGAACCTGTACGGATACAGTCTCAGCAAACCGGTGCAGTGTGCTAGAGCAGTTTTTCTTACACCTGAGGACCTTGGCTGCACACATTTGCGCTGGGCTTGTGCTGGGGGTTTGCATAAAGAGAGTGTTTTACAGACTTAACTTGGATTTTCTTTGTTGAATTTGAAATTTTGAGTGCTTATAAATCATGTTGTCAGTCAACAGTGTTCATAAGGTATAGAAAATGGAGACACGTATAAAATTACTATAAATGCAGTAAAGAAGCTCTTGTACTTTGTGGATTTTCTGGCAGCACATCAAAAGGGTGGCTGAGAGGGGTAAGATTAAGGGTGCACTGGCATTAGGCCACCACTGTCTTTGACACCTTTCCAAATCATGTGGTTATACAAGGGGGCAGTGGGTTGGTTTGGGATAGCAGCCCAGCAGAGGCCTGCGCTGCCCACAAAAGAAATGTGGCCAACAACCTCCAGAAACGTGTCATTGACAGTCACACTATGCTTCCTATAGGACAACTCCTCAGAAGAGAGGTGACAGTTGAAAGCCATGGGAGAGCCTGAACCCTAATCCATTGCAAGATGTGCAGGCTACGGTACACCATGCCTGCAGCCAGGGTACACTTTTGTGAAGTTTTATATCCTATCCGAGTCCTTGCGGAAGGAACGAGCATATTTGACTTGCCGGTGGAAAAGGAACCGGAGTGATGCTCCCCAGAATGGAAAAGGAGCCAGGATCATATGATCCTTTCTTTTTTTTTTTTCACCACCACTACCTCTGAGCCTCTTTCTGCCGAGGTGGAGTTGCGGTTTGCACCAATGGGTGCCGAAGCGCCAGCGTGGCGTTTTTGTTTTCTTTTGGCTGGTGCCGCCAGCCTTTGTGAAAGGATTCATGCTTTAGACACCCCAGTCCCGGCCCCAAAGTCTCAAAGTGTCCCAGTAGGGTAGGCAGTAGGGTTTGTAGGTTGAAGCGGCATAGGACGGAGAAAAGTCCAGAAGAGTCCGGTCCAGTCCAACAGTCCCAAGTCCAATTCCACAGCATGCCCCGGGAAAGTCCGGAAGCCACCGGACCAATAAAATGTTTGCAGCAGACAGGCCAGGGCCGACCGGTACCGGTCTGAAGCAGGCCAAGCCAAACCAAGTCGTATATTTAGCTGCTACAGTGCAGCGGCTCATCACTTGTTCATTTTGCGAGCTGCGGAAGCGCCTCTGCTGCTTGTGCGTTAAGGCAACTTGGGCACTTTGTGCCTGAGAAAGAAGAGAGCGCTCTGATAATCTGATTAATTTATGTCGGGGCTGGGTACCGGTTAGACTCCTCAACTGCTGATATGTGTATTTGCAAGCGTGATACACAGATTCTTCCCAAGAATAGGGTAGGATCTGGCACGATTTGTATATGGGGCTAAGCGTGACCATATTCAGCAATAACTCTTGAAGTAACAAAGTCATGTGTAGGGTAGGTCTATCTTAGTAGAGAGTTTAGTCACAAATAGATTTGACTCTGGCCAATCTGAAATGGTTTTCACCTTTGCCGAGGCAGATGCAGATTCCAGGGTTCGATTCCCAGACCTCACTTTGCCCGTGTACAGTATCGAGTCGACACCCGAGTGTTTGAACCCGTGACCTGTGTTTTAGTAGTTGTTTGTCGTCTGTCGTAGGTCTGTGTAGTAGTAGGGGTTCGATCTGTAGGTCTGTCAGTTAGGAGTCACAGCTTTGTAGAGGTCGTAGCTGTAGGTGTTCTGAAAGGTCAAGGTCGTAGCTGCTACAGTCCTGAAAGGTCAAGGTCGTAGCTGCTACAGTATCCGAAAGGCCAAGTCCACA